AACAAAAAACTTCAATTATCCCATCAAAAATATGATTTAAAGTTTGGGAACTCTTGGACTGTACAAAATAGAAGATGGTTCCCTATCAAAGTCAACTTTGGACATGAAGATGTCAGAGTGCCAAAAATATTAGCAAGAATATAGCCATAACAGTTAGTACGCACATGTCACATGCATTCTCATTCTTAATCTCTAATATGTCAAAAAATAAGATTTGTAACAATATCCAAACTGGACAATGTGAAGTTGAAAGGTAATAAAATGACCAATATATGATAGGTTTTGATCAGTATCTGCAGGCTCGTACAATGAATTTGGAAAGTGACATAGCTACATATTGTGTAACTCAAAAAAGTCATTATGGGCTGCTGTCACTTTTACATTGACATTACATAGTTGTAATAAAAACTTTTGTACTAAACAAGCAAAATATTTTGTTAAATATGCAAGTTAAACATGATGAGAGAGGAGATATTAGTAAGCTGGTTAATATTATAATAAATAGACAGAACTTGCATATCAGGTTTTAAAGATAGAACAATTTTGAAGAATATTGACTGAAAGCTTGCAGTTTTGGTCTTTCTTGCAGCCTACCTCAGTCCTCTGCTGACTTGACACAACTATGGGGAAGAAAAAAGCTGGAAGAAACATTTAACTGTGTGTATGTGTGTGTGTGTGTGCATATATAGGTTTAAGAAACTATATAATGACTATTAGGTTTTGTTGATACAACTATTCTGCTATGGTGATGTTGTCAAACATGTGTGTCAATATGTTAAGGTCATATGCACTTTTTTTTATATTTAAATTTTCAGCCTTAAACATACTGGAACAGATGCTACTTACTGCTAGTTCTTAAAACAACTTCACTTTAGAAAAAACGTTTTGTAAATCCTGCAATTTTAAATGTCTTCATCGTAAATATAAATATATTACCTTACCATTATCGGTCCAGATTGTCAACTTATTTTCATAGTGGATAATCAATAATTTGAAAAGGAAAAAAAGTGACATGGTCGTATTAGTCTTACCAGTTCCTATGTAGCATTTTATTTCAAGAAATAAGTAGAACAACCACAGTTATATCAGATTTACAACCCTTTTCTGTGTCAGATGATTTCCTCCATTACCACACAAATTATTGGTAAAATCAAATCAAATTTCATTTTTAGTAAACATTTTGATTTTATCTGAAAAGTGAAAAATGCTAATAGTTATTTTAACCAATCAATAATAAATGACTTGTCTAACGAGTTCCTAAAACCAGACATTACTAGAACCCTTGCACTGTTTACAAGTAGAAAGTAACTAGTTTTCCAATTTGTCGTACTTGTTTATAGAGCAAGATGTGTACTGTAAGAATTACTAAACATCTACAGTGTTTATAAACCACACCCACCCACAGCTTCAAGTTTCAGCTTGTGTTACACCCTGTACCACACCCACCCCACAGCTTCAAGTTTCAGCTTGTGTTACACCCTGTACCACACCCACCCCACAGCTTCAAGTTTCAGCTTGTGTTACACCCTGTACCACACCCACCCCACAGCTTCAAGTTTCAGCTTGTGTTACACCCTGTATAATACCTGCTTTTTTTTTCTTATAACTCTTAGCATGTGTTAGGGGATGAAATATTCTCAACAAGCGTTCAAAGGGTTCAGGAGTAATTAATATTTTGAAAATTTTGGGAGAATTTTAGACCATGGAAAAGGAAAAAGTGCAAAACTGGGAAGAAAACAAGAATGTAAATAGGAAAAAAGAAACTATATACTGACTATTAGGTTTTGTTGACAACTATTCTGCTATTGTTTTGTTCCCAAACATGATAAAAACTAGGGAAGAATTTTAGGAGACTTAATTGACAGTAGGAGAAAAAACAACAACAAACAATAATATGCAATTGTTTTGTACGAATATTTACTTCTGCTTATGTTACACCCTGTACAGTATTGTAGTAACAGTTCCTACCATTTGGTGGACTCTTTGATTTTATTAAGTCCACTTAATAAAAAGGAAAGCAGTTATTTTTTCTACCACAAATTCTACAAGCTCACTGACCCAACTGTCACATAAATCTAAACAGTCACTTACTTGTGAAATTTCTTCTCATATTTATGGCACAATCCCAAAGCTGGCTGACTAACACCTGTTATCTCAGTAATTTATAACCAACAACACTACTAGTCTAACTAACTTACCAAATAATTCACTCATTAATCAACTTATAAAATTTCTAGATGTCACAGGTGATCACCAAGTCGTGCCTAAACTCTGTCTAGCAAACAATACAAAATTTCCACATCAAAATATTAAACATAGTTTACAAAAATATCTACTCATCTTAAATTTTAACTTGTGTTCCACCCTTGAAAATATAGGTCTACCCTAAATTTCAAAACTAACCTTGAAAAACAACTTGGCTTTCTAACTTGACAACTGCTTGTTTTCAATGACCTCTTAGAACTGTCTTTTTGGTTGCCAAACCTTACTACAGCACCATTAGGTCTTTTCTTGCTTTTTTACTTCCCAAACAGTACTATAGTATCATCAAGTGTTCACCTACCTCCAACAATTCCCAAGCCTTAAGACAGTACCAGGTATTCACCAAAGTGTATTTGAAGGGAGAGATCATCACTTAGAGGCCAGTTTTAACTTTATTGAACTTAAAACAGAAGTTGTTAAACTGACAGAACCCAAAAGTCATTCTTCTTTGAACTACTTAATCTGACAGATTTTATAACTTTAAAACAGAAAATATTTTGCTGATGAACACAGCTTTCAAAACTTACACCTATTACCTGTAACATTCAAGTTTGTATCGCCAACTACTTGGACTGTCGCTGTTTATAATGATTTTCTACTTAGTAGTTAAAAACTGCTTTACAATTAACCTTACAAATACCATGGACATGGGCATGACCTAACTTTGGTTTACTTGTCATTCTGTATATTTGGCTAGAACTAACTCGATACAGGAGAATCACTTATACAAGTTTATTGGCTTTGTGTATTTTGTAAATAATTTTCCTATGCTTAGATCTCTCATTCTTTTGTTCAATATTACAACCTGAAAATAAAACAGTGATAATGAAGTTTCACAAACAACATTGCAACATTGTTAATCAGTATTGAAAATATTTAAAGAACAACGTGACACACACACACACACACTGAAATTAAACTAAACTTTGCATCCATGGAAAAATTTGTTAAAACTTAAAGTATCACCACAACATTATACAAGGCATTTCACAAGTTTAAAACAAGGTTTGAAAGAAGATTTTGAAACTTATTTCCAACTAATATTCATTCCATATGCATATTATCCAAGCCCCTAACAATTTGAAATCAACGCTCCTTAGACAACAGGTCTTTATTGTTTATTTTATTACTTTTACAGATTTACTTACAAAAGATAAGCATATCTTTGTATTATATTCTGCTTGGTGACTATAGGTGGTACACTTTATGTCTACTTAAAGAACTTTTGAGCCTTAAATATACTGACATTATTACTTAGTACAAGAATGGATCAATATCATCTGTGGTACACATAGTAGTTTTCTTTCAATTTCCTTATCACACAACTGATAATTATCTTTGGTGAAGAATGCAGCAAAGGACAACCAGAATAACACCCTGGCAAAAGATGCAGCAGAGGATGACTAGAATAACACCTTGGCCATGGATACACTTTATATTAAATCTGATCGATACTTTGGCCATGGATGCACTTACAGTAAACCAGATTGATACCTTGGCTACTGATGCACTTACAGTACATCAGAGCAACACCTGGATGCAATTCCAATATACCAGATCGACAACTTGGCCATGGATGTAGTTATGGTCAACAAAAATGCTGCCTTGGCTACAGGAGCAGTTATTGATAACCAGTGGTATCTTAGCTAGGCATGTAGTTAAGGCCAATTAAAGTGATACCACTTTAAAAAGTTTAGTAATGAAGAAGATATTCAAACAGTTTCACTTTTTCTCACTGGAATATAGAATAGCTAGAGATGGTATGATAAAAGTTTTCAATTTTGAAAACAAACTTTTTAGTTTGTAATGGTGACTTGAAGTTGAATACTCAAGATGTGTAAAAAGTTTAGAAACATACATTACCACTTTTTTCCAAACAATTTGTTAGAACTTTAATGTGGAGTAGCCTGTCTGATAACAGTACTTAAAATAGTTTCCATTTTCTTAGGGTTCTGTTAGACCAGTATATCAAATAAAAAAATCAATCCTTTTAAGATCACGTTTAATCAGCACATCAAAGTGGCAATCAATCCTTTTATTGTTCATTGAATCAGTATACCATTACCAACATCAAAATGTTAAAGTTAGCTAGTTTAACTTAAGATTCTGTTGAATTGTTATACAAATCTGATAGTGAGAGTTGGTTCTTCTAAGGTCCCTTTGGATAGGAAACTAAACATGAAAGATAACAAGTTGTTGTTTGGTCTCTGTTTAATACCATAGTACTCAGCAATAGCAGAGAAGCCACTACTGTGATATTGAACAATGTCTTGTACATTTGTAATCCACCTTAATTCCTTCTTTACCTGAAAAATTTATAACTTTTGTTTTTAAAAACTATCAATTCATTTCTACAAGTCCTTTCTACAACTTTAGCCACACCACTTAAAATTTAAGTTATTAAGAAAAGCTAATGATAACTTAAGTTTCTAAACTATTCAAATGAAAATTGACATCTAGGGCACATATATAATAACCAACATGGTTTAATTGCACAATGAATAAAGTCTACCAAGCCCTTGTGACAATGTAATTACTATGCAGGTTCACCTGACAGACTCTAAAAACAGTCACTATCCACATTAAAAACCTAATAATTACAGAGAAGTGTGAATACACAAAACACTAGTCATTTGACTTTCAGTTTCACAAACAGCCCATACAAAAATTATAAAAAAAACGTGACAACTGGAATAATAAAAAAATTAGTTAATGCAAAAGTTTATTTTATTTCATACCAACCACTTCTAAATGTATTAATTCATCAACTGTGTGTAGAACCAGCTATCATACAGTAGGCAGTATAAACACGAAACCCTCGTTCCAAACTCCAATCAGCTGGGAACAAAGAAACGGCAACTGTCACAGTCAAGTTACACTTACAAGTTACAGTGAAGTCCCTTATCACTACTTGTACTAGATTACCTTGCACAGTGCAATGACTCAAGAGTCAAAATGCGATATTCAACACGAACAATGATAATGATGGTATGACGAGTACTTTAGCATACTGAATTATTTACAAAATAGTTACGTTTATAACACAGCTCCATTTTTCGCTGACTGAATATAAAAAATTAATCTACTTACACTTGTAAACTGTCTAAAGTGTAAGGGTCAAACGGAAAACACGAGTTTGTTCTACCATCTTAACAATGTTTGTTAGCCTCGTTTTCACGAACACCTCTACTTATTTAATAAGTATGCGTCATGCGGATGTGCATGGAACCGAAATAGAGGTCAAAAGACCTGTCGTTGACCTTTTCAAAATTATATAAAGTAACTGACGGCTTGCTACACCATACGTTTTATTTTCTTCGATAAAATTTACTCCGTTTATCGTAGAATTTTGTTTCAATTTCATTTTAAGAGGAACAATAGTTTTTCCATTAACAATAGTATAAATAAGCGCAATGCAGGATGACCTTAGACACATACGATTGTAGTATTGGTAAACATTCGTATCAAAATAAATAGTGCTATTTCACATGACCAACTTCCACGTAATTAACATTTAATTAACGTAATTAACAACTGACAGAATATTGACAGTTTTATGATTTATAACTTCCATGATATACGTTCTATGAGTTGAACATACTGCGTGTATAAGATGAAATTGAACAATAAACTTATTGAAGTTATTTTTATTATAATGTTACGACAGCGGAGGTCACGTGATACTAGTAACAAGCCATGCGCTTCTAGAACGTTCATGAAGCGTCGGGAGACTACTAGATATGGGGTAGTCTTGTATATATAAGACCGGCCAAGAAGCGACGGGAACAATGTGTAACTGAACTGCGGACAGAGTATTGTTGAGTTGAGCACGTGAGACGTTCGTCGTGAATTATAGCGTTTGTTATAGCGCGACTGTTGAAATTAAGTGTATCGCAAAGTTGTATTCAGAAAGAATAAACCAGTTTTATTTAAGAAAGGACTTGTGTCGCTAAAGTTTCGTCGAAGCGAAATTTACGGAAAATTAACTAACGAACGGAGACATAACAGTATAGTACAATACTCCCAGTAATAGGTTAATTACAAAATCTATCATTCCCATTATGTATGTTCCAAGCAGATAAACCGCCAATTCATATTAACTTGCACAAATCTTTGTACCATCCCCGAAAATGAGTATGACCTCACTCCAAGAAGGTGTGCCATAGAAACAGGGCTGATCATGTACAAAGGTTACAAAATAATTATTGTGGTGTGTAATCTTTGTTGAAACTAGAAGACTAACAGTATATCATCTGAGCATTTTTAGATTCCATATAAAACTTGGTGGAGTAGAATGTTTAAAGATGCTTGTGATACATCTTTTTCAGGTGATAATGTGTTTATTAGTTGCGACCCGCAAAATATTTGCGTTAGTTTTCATGACCTTCACTTTAATTTTCCTTATTCTATCATTTTCAGGCACGACATTTAAGCTATACTTTCTTGCAGGCTTTATGTGTCAGATCAATAGATCCTGGTCTGTTTGAAAAAATGTTATGTGGTCACAAATAAACTCACGTAGACGTATCTTAATTTAATAAAACCACATGTACACAACTATATTTAATAAAACTACACGTGAGGTAAAGAATAAAGTATAGTAAGGGTATTTATAATAGTCTACAGAATATGAAACAGTTATGAACTCGTGGCTTTATGAGTTGAAACAAACAAACACACAAAAACGAAGAATAAAACTTGTACTAAAGAAAAAGGTAGCTAAAAGGTGTCTTTAGTAGTCTGTGAAACAAACCAAAGCTAAATTATTGCGAAGTAAAGTAAATGTAAAGTTGTTATGAAGACAAACGTAGATGAATATGCATATAATTTTGAACAAACCATGCACACATATTTTAGACCTAAATAGTCGAGAAACCCGTAGAAATTTTATTCATGGTAATGTTATTTTTTTTTTAGAAAATTACACACGGGTTATGTGTTGTTTGTGTGAAATACTTTGCAAACAAAAAAACTAAAGTTGACATCGAAGCCAGTCATCATTTGATGACTACAACATTGTGCCATCATATAGTATACTCATTGCATTAAAAAGTTTGACTAAACAAAAAACAGGTAAGGTGATCCTGAAAGGAAAAGTCACTGTGCAAGCTGGACTTCTCAAAAAAGGCCTTTCTGGCAATATGCGATTTGTAATGTTCAATCAAGAAATTTGTGAGAAAAATTCCAGACAGACAAACGCAATCGTATTATTTATATAAATGCCTGTAGAAATCACACTTGATACTTAACATTGTTTCAGCATCTGATATCTAAAATGGAGGAGATGTTGTTCTAACTGTCCAGTTACAGATGTCAACGGAACACTAATGACTGACATCTCAGAAATCAATTCTGATTTTAGCTGAATACAACAAGACCTTCTGTCTATCTTGCTTTTGTCATTAATTTTGGTTGCCAGACTCTCTCTACCACAATGGAACGAGAATTGGTATTTGGTTGTATTTTTGAAAAGTTTGTGGGAGAATCCAAGATTCTGAGCTACACTAAACCTAACAGTGGCTGAAGAGGAGTTTACAAGGCAGATTTTATGCTAGTAGAAACATCGACTATTACCAAGTCATCATGTACCTCCCAGAGTCCAGTTGTCAATACATCCAGCAAGTGACACCTGGGAATCAGCAAACTTCAAAGATGGGAGCAGTCATAGCCATCCCTGAACCCAGTTGCAGCCTTTTTTCCAGAGGATAAACAGAGGAGATGGGGCCTCTGTGGTATATCTAGGTTGGTGCGACAGCTTCACTGTGTCCATGAATAGCCTAAAGAAACTGAACAGGTATGGAACAAACTGAAGATATAACCAAAACTGAAAATCTATTCTAACAAAAATCCATAGCTTTCCTGGATAATCTGTCCAAAATGAAGTGTACTGCGTTAAGTTGCGAATATTACAATGTTGGATATACAAGACGTTTGGTATAAGCATTGTTATTTGGTTTGTGACTTAATATTTAATGATTATTTACTTTTCATAACAAGATAGTTAAAAGTAATTATTTTAAAGGAGATAGTTATGGCAAGTTTGGTTGCATAACTCGGTAAGAGTCGTATGCTGTGTGTGTGTGTGGTTTAATTGTTGTAGTATTGTTAACGCCAAGTTACTCTAATCTTCTGTATTTTTCGTTACTTTAATTGAGTATTGTTACATTATAGCATCGCTCGTGTAGTTTATAGATAGTTTGAGGCAGTGAACAATATATAAATACAGGCGACCAAGTAAGTGCAAGTCAAGTAAAAATTCAGCCAGAAAAAAAGTTAGAAAACGTGAAGTTAGTCAGCATGCGAGTAATTAACCACAATGGGCGTTATTTTAAAGTGGGTTTCACAGTATAAGGAGAATAATGTGTCTTGTCAAAGGGTGTTATAAAGTAACTGAACCCGTCTGTGTTGACTTTGATGAAAAGAAGACAATTATTTAAAGTTCATGATACAACTGTGGTAATCCATGGGGTAACGTAAGTGAATTATTCACTAACATTATTGTGATAAGACTAAAGAAGAAGAATTCGTCTTCTCAATTAGTTCTAAAGTAACTGAACCAGACTGTGTGGGTATTTGAAAAAGGTAAGTGTTTAAAGCTTTAGATACAACTGTGAAATCCTATAGTGTAAATCATTTTTGTACAAACGTTTAACTTGTTTTGAATATATTATTTTAAAACAAGTGGATTGAATGTTATCCGTTTATTGTTCGAATTTATCACCAACAAGTCACAGACACCTACTGTAAAGATTCCAAGCCTATATCATTTAAAACCCTGACATACAATTTAAATTATAGCATACCATTTTGAAGTTTAAAGGTAAATAAGTAAGAACTAAAAGTTTTACTAATAATTTGCATACAGTTTAAGAAACATTTTTGTTATTCATTTAAAAGTTTATGATATAAAATAGATAAGGGGTATTATGTAATTTATCTTACTTGTATCTTACTTTTTAAAAATAAAATGTAAACACAAGGGTTAATTTTATGTCTATGTTTATACATCCCAATGTGAAAGATTTTTTTTAAAATTTCAAATGTATTATGCATTTTGAACTTCTCTATATGAAAGCATGTTGTGGAGTGAAGTGTTTGTCTGGTGCAAGTATGCAAAAATACCGATATATGGCTATATAATGTATGTACACGTGTTGCAAATAAAGACTGGATAGAACAACGGGAAAGCAATTCATAAAGAAATAAACACAAATATTCAAAAGGAGAACTAACTAACCAGAGAACTCGAACTCAAAAGAACTTAGTGAGGATTTGTTTGTAATTAAGCACAAAGCTACACAAGGGGCTATCTGTGCTCTGCCCACCACGGGTATCGAAACCCGGTTTCTAGCGTTGTAAGTCCGCAGACATACTGCTGTGCCACTGGGGGCCAGTGAGGAGAAATAAAACAAATATCAATTAATTCAATAATTATTTAAATCGATACGTATTACAAAAGGAGTGAAGGGTTCAGTACAAAAATGAATTTGGAGAAGCAAAGAGAAATAAACGGAGAAAGCCAGAAAAACTGCAAAAAAGGCGCATTTGACACATTTTTTACTCTTAGAACATCAGCAGAAGCAACAGTTTATAATGAACTGATAAAAAGTGACGACCAGTAAGGAACAAAATACATCAAAACAACAGATGAGGATTTTCCGCAATTATGAAATTAATAAAGATAATATCAATATACTGGAACTTAACATTTTGGGAATTGGTTTATGGCTACAATATATAAAAACAGGATAAGAGTTACGTTAGTAAAACATGGAAACATACAAGTTAAACACATTAATATTTTCAACCTAACAAAAAATCAATCTGGAATGCGATTCTCAAAATATAGTTATTTTCTAAAATATGGAAAAAGTGCCGTGTCCATGACTGGTGTATTCTTTAAACTAGATGCAATGTTTAGCTTTTCCTCTCTAACGTTCTGAGAACAAGAGAAAATACAGCTGACTGATGAAAATTTTCGTTACTGGCACTATGCTCCAAAAATTTAGGATATCATGAAACAAATCATTCACATATTGAATGCCTGCTGAAATTAAAACGCCAGATAATAGTATATCCAAAACTTTAATATAATCAGTATTGAACAGCAGCATTTAACAGGCATATTAATAGGATAATTAGTCATGAACTTGGCAGAGAAAAGTCCAACTTTTCA